AGGACGATGAGGGCAGTGGAGATGGCGGGGATGACGGAGATGACGATCAGGAGGACGATGAGGGCAGTGGAGATGGCGGGGATGACGGAGATGACCACCATGATGAATCATGAACATGGTGGTGGCGAGGACGGCAGTGATGGTGGTGACGAGAGGGTGAGGGTGACAATCGCAATGGAAGGAGGACGGAGATGACGGTGATGATGGTGAAGTGTAGCGAGAGAACGGCTATCATCGGGACGCGAGGAGGGTGCCCTTGGTGACAGTGGCGGCTCTCATGGCCATGAGGAGGAAGGTAGCCGTGATGCTAACGATGTCGGCGGCGAGGATGAAAACGGTGGCGACCACAGAGAAGGGGGTGATTGGCACAAGGATGGTGGTGGTGTGACGGGAAGAGAATCGTGGTGTGGTGGTGATGACGAGGATGGTAGCAGTCACAGTGAGAATGGTACGGAAGTTGACGGTGATGGTCACTGAGTGAGACTCTCGCCCTTTCCAAAATGTCCTGGTCTCCCCTCCTCCAGGACTCTGCTCCCACGTCACTGCCTTGGTGGGGCATCCTCAGGGTCCTTCCTCTGCCCGCGACAGAAACCTCCTCTCACAGCACCCATCAGGCCTTTCCTAGACCCGTCTCCACATTGCTTGTCTTTAGCACCCATCCCTTGCAAACAACACCTGCAATGCATAATCGATATTGTCTGTGTCCTCACTCACTGGTAAGTCACGTAGGCGGCAGGAGCTTTTGTCTCCCCCGTGCATGGCAAGCGGACTTGCACGCAGCTGGCCGTGGTTTGGGGTCGAATGGCCAAGCAACTGTCCTGCCTGTTGCCTGTGGTCCAGGAAACAGACATTCCTGGGCAGAATCACAGAGCCAGGCCTCACAGGACAGATGCCTGCCCTGTGGTGGTCCCGCTGCAGAAGGGGTGGATTTGCAGGCCCGCTTGGGAGGCGGGCCAAGTGTCTGCGCCCTCCCCCCCCACACACACGGGGAAACCCTGGCCATCAGTTGGAAGTCGTTAAAAGCTCCCCGTGGCTGCACATCGTTAGAGACAGTTTTAAGTGGGCCACCAAAACCCAGTCCCTGCACAACGTCGTCTCAGCGTTGGGTTATTTTTACGTTATCTGAGTTTGGGATCTCTCTGTTTATCATTCATATTTAAAGTAATTGCGTTAAATACGTCCATGGATTTTACTTAAGGAGAACACATTTTCTTTCTGTTCTAAAACAAAGTTCTAAAATGAGAATATATTGTTTTATTAAAAATTAAAGCACCTACCACCTTCCCTCGGGGTAGGGGGTGGGTGGAGGGGAACATGTCTAAATAAAGATCCCAATTTACCAAAGACAGACTCTGACATATTTTAAAACCTGTTAGGTATAAAAATGAAGTGACGTTAAAGACAGGTCTGTCCCATTGAAGCCAGCCAGGATAACGTCTGGTAATTAGCAGGCAGTGCTTGGATTGTGAGTTGATTGTACTAGCAGCTACTTACATCTTTACCATCCTCCCTCACTCAGTTTCCAAAGGGCTGTTGTGACCTGATATGAAGGGTAGGTTCATGCTCATTAGTCCACATGTGGTGGTGGTGGTGGTGGTGGTGGCGGGCAAGGGGGTTGTACTCCATGTCCTAGGGATAATGGAGCCCACCAGGCCACCCACTCTTTACCTGATTCTTGGGTATTGTTAATGCTAACAAAATATAATACAGTCCATAATTTAGACATATTATAAACTCTTACTTAGTGCAGGAACAGCTTTTAAAGCAAAGAGATAGGTGGATGGATGGATGGATGGATGGATG